CAGTGGGAGGGCTTATAGTGTCCTGGCCCCACTGGTGGACCTCCTGATGGCACCTGGTATTTTTAGCAACTATGTGACACAGAGTGTTGGACTGGATGGGCCATTGGCAGTCAGTGCGGCATTGCCCCCAGGGTACTTGAATGTGGTTTTGAACTGCACCCTTTCCTCAGTGTTGAGAAAATGTGGAGTGAATGCCAGATGCAGAATCGCCCAGAGCCAGGGAGAGGCCACCGAAGACAGGCAGAATCATCCTAAACCCCTCCCCCCCAAATAAAGGTAAAGGTAAAGGTTCCCTTGCTCGAAAGCCAGTCGAGTCCGACTCTAGGGCTGCGGTGCTCATCTCCGTTTCCAAGCCGAAGAGCCAGCGCTGTCCAAAGACGTTTCCGTGGTCATGTGGCCGGCATGACTAAACACCAAGGCGCACGGAATGCTGTTCCCTTCCAACTGAAGTGGTACCTATTTACCTACTTGCAATTTCTTGCTTTCGAACTGCTAGGTTGGCAGGAGCTGGAACTAGAGACGGGAGCTCACTGTGTCATGCGGCAACTCGGGTCTTGACTCTTGAACTGCTGAACTACTGACCTTCCACAGCCTGCAGTTCAGCGCCTTAACCATAGAACCTTTCCTCTCTTCTCTCTCTCAAAGCGATTACTAACCATTCCACCTCTAAACGTCTCTCCTCCTTGACCTCCTCTTTCGAAAATAAAGCAGGTCTATTTTTGGGAAGTGCAACTTCTGGGCAAAGGGCGAGAGATGCCGTCAACCCTCTTGACGAGGACTTTAAAATAAATGGGGGTTTATGCGGAGTTCATCTGTTCCTGTTGCTCAAAGGGCTGCCGAAGTCATTATGGGTTGGGGGGGGGGGTTGGGGAAAACCACGCCTGTGCTTCAATGCGCTTGGCAGGAGGAGAGAGCTTTGCCTCAGTCCCATAAGGAAAATTACGTCTTGATTTTCCTGCCAGCGCAGTTCTGTATTTATTTCCCAGATTCCCAGAGCTAGGCCTGACGGAAGAGGTAAACCCCCAAAAGACCAGTGGCCAGGAGTTGCGACGCATCCCCAGACGCTCAAAGGCTCTGGCGGTTGCTCTTAATTAACTAATGGCCTGTATAGAGCCATAATGGGATTTGCAAAGAGGATAAACTCCAAAGCCCGCACCATAATAGTGAAGCTTTTTTTTCCTTTTTCTTTCCCCAGCTTAGTTCCCCTCCCCCTTGGCATTTCTTGAGGCAGCTTTGGAAGTGCGTCCTGGCTGGTAAGGAGCAGGTAGGTGTTCCCCCTGCCGTTTCTCAACCGCAACTGCATCCAGTTGCACACTGAATCCCTGAAAACAAACCGTCTACGGCGGTGTTTCCTATGGCTGAGCTGAATGGGAAGCAGCGGGAGGCCACGTTTGGTGCCCCCCCCAATTGCACCCAGCTTCCTGCACCCATCCTTTAAAAGGAATTGTCCAGGGGAGAGGGGACTCAAAAGAAGTGGGAATGATCGTAAACAGCCCCTTCCCGGTCCCTGTGCGTTGCAAAACACCGATAGCCAAATCTCCTCCACAACCAGCTTATCCAGCGACAAGTCTCTTCGCAGCCCCGACTGCATTGGAACCATTTTTTTAAAAAAAAAAATCAATAAGCCCGTTCTCTAACTACAAACACAATGGCCGAGTTCAGACTGGCAGTTTGGCCCGGCAGCCAAACGTTTCAGGAGCGTTTCAGGAGCATTTCAGGAGCAGATTAAAGGGGCGGGTTCACACAGGCACATCTGTCAGCCGTCCTCCAGCCGTACTCAAGCCGTCTTGTGCCACTTGATGTCAGCTATTTGCCATTTTATGTTGCTTCTGTCCTTCTGTTCCCGCTTGCTCGCAGCTCAGCAGCTTTGCGTAAACATTGCCTCGGAGACCCTCCATAGGTGGGACGATTATCTCCCACAGTGCGCTAAGTTCTCTCTCAGCAGCAACAGCTATCTTCAGTCAGCTTCATCTAAAAGACTAAGAAGGGTACATATTTACCCATGTGGTACTGTACTGGGATCACTATAAGATTCAAGAGAGCTGTTATTCTCCTGTCGCCTCTACTACCAAGGGTGTACTCTGGCAACCTAGCAAGCCAATACATGGGACTGGATAGGCCTCCACATGCTTCAGTTTGGTGTAGTGGTTAGAAGCATGGACTCTAATCTGGGAGGACCGGGTTTGATTCCCCGCTCCTCCATATGCAGCTGCTGGTGTGACCTTGGGTCAGTTACAAGATCTTTTGGAGCTGTTCTCTCACAAACAGTTCTGGAAAGAGCTCTCTCAGCCCCACCTACTTCACAGGGTGTCTGTTGTGGGGAGAAGAAGAGAAAGGAGATCGTATGCCGAGACTTCTTTAGGCAGTGAAGGATGGGGTATTTCTTCTTCTTCATGTGAACACATTAAGCTGCCTTACACTAACCCTCTACACTGAGCTCTGCACAGTCGCCAGATAACATGCACATGCAAGCACATGGAGGAAGTGCCTGCAAGTATACTCCCTCTCTATAATCAGGGAACCTGTTTTCCTAACACTGCCAATCATGAGGAGGGTGCATACGTGCAGACAATGCCTCTGTGTGTAGGCACTGTGCTCACAAGCTGGTGATCACAAGGAAGTGGGAGGCAAGGCCAGCACACTTGTGCCCCCTCTCCCTCTTCTCATGTTTGGTAAACATGTGGAGGGGTCATGTGTACAGGGCTGCTGAGTCAGGCCACTGGACAGCCCACCAAGGACAGTGTTATCTGCTCTGACTAGATACAGCTCTACAGAGCCTCAAGCCTAGAACTTTCACATCACCTGCTATCTGATTCTTTTAGCTAGAGATACCTGTGATTGAATTTGGGACCTCCTACATGTCAAGCAGATACTCTACCACAGACATAAATAAAACCGCCTTAGGCAGAGTTGAACCACTGGTCCATCAAGGTCACTACTGTCTGTTCCAACTAGCAGTGGCTCCTCAGATTCTTAGATAGATGTCTTTCCCATCATCTACTACTCGAGCCTTTTAAGTGGGGGTGCCAGGGACTGGACCCAAGTCCTTGTGTGCCAAGCAGACCCTCTGCCACTGAGCCACACCCCATGTTCCCCTCTTGCCCTCTTCCTTCCACTGATCAGGGCTATTTTTGGGCAGGAACGCACAGGAACGGAGTTCCGGCTGGCTCCCGAGTTGGCCATGCCCAGCAGGAACTCATTAGCATAATAGGCCACACCCAACAGCAGAAACTCATTAGGATTGGCTACATTAGGGGTGTGTGGCCTAACATGCAAAGAAGTTCCTGCTACAAAAAAAGCTCTGGGTTTTGACAACAAACAAGATAAACAGAATAAGAATCAAAAGGTAGGTGTGGCTTGATGACCACACTTCTGGTAACATGGGGGTGCTGCCTAATATGCTAATGAGCGGTGCTGTCAGGGTGTGGCCTGATATTCTTATGAGTTTCTGCTGTTGGGTGTGGCCTATTATGCTAATGAGTTCCTGCTTGGCTTTTTCTACAAAAAATGCCCTGGTTATTCCTAACAATAATCCTGTGGATATGGTACTGGTTTTTCTACTCGAATAAAGCATAACGCTTCTCAGGAAATGTGTGTGAAGAGTTACTTGCTGTGGAAACTGACACTTCCCTCCCGAGTTTTAAAGTTTAAAAAGTACCAGGTGAAAGTGGTAGCTAACCGTGTGTAGAGCGGGTTGATTCTGGTTCCCTGACGTGTGAACGCAAGCGCTGCTAAAGTGGGAACAACCCTCAGTCATTGATAATAGGCACTGGCTGTTTCCGTGGCAGGTGGCCATGTGCCCATGCGCACATGCAGCGGAGCGCAGAAACAGCTGCTAACAGCCCACCAGGGCATGGGCCAGTCCGAACGCTCCCTTGTGCTTCCTCCATGGTATCCTCCCGCTTCATTGTGAACCAATGCGTTTTGGGCCTGTTCCGGGTCTTCTTTGCCATGACTCCCTAGCGCTTCAGATTGCCAGTCTGAACTCAGCCAATGAAGCTGTCCAGTAGTAACTGAGAACTGGCTATGTGGCAGATGTCCTCAAGGAGTGAGGCAGTTAATGTAATATATGGCAATCCTTGTCGTTTCATGTTAAAATAAGGAGGTATGGGGTTGGAGTTACCAACCAGTTTGGTGCAGTGGTTAGGAGCGTGGACTCTAATCTGGGAAAACTGGGTTTGATTCCCCACTCCTCCATGTGCTGCAGCTGGTGTGACCTTGGGTCAGTCACAAGTTCTTTCAGAGCTCTCTCAGCCCCACCTCCCTCACAGGGTGTCTGTTGTGGGGAGGGGAAGGGAAAGGTGATTGTAGGCCACTCTGAGGCTCATTTGGGTAGTGAAGGGTGGGGTATAAATCCAAACTCTTCTTCTTCTCCAACCAATCAGCTATCAGAGGAAGGGCCGCCCTCCCATGAGAACCAGGAAACAGTTTAGGTTGGTCTTCAAAAGCCAGAAAAAGGCTGATGAGGAGAAACAAGGGCAAGGACGAGGAGTAGGGTTGCTAGGTCCCCCCCGGCCATTGGCAGGGGATGGATGGTAGGGTTGCCTGATTCAGGTTGGGCAAGAGACCTGTAAAAGGCAGGAAGCCCAAGACCTGAAAATCCTGTAGGGCTTTCAAGGCAAGAGACATTCAGAGGTGGTTCACCATTGCATGCCTCTACGTAGCAGCCCCGGTGGTCTCCCATCCTTTGAGGTCCCCCATCCAAGTACTAATCAGAGCTGACCCTGCTTAGCTTCCAAGATCTGATGACATTGTGTTAGCCTAGGCCATCCAGCTCAGGGTCCTGAAATGGCCGAGTCCAAGACAGTCTTGACAACTTGATTCCCCTTGATTGTAGAATGGAATCCAGGCCAGACTCCCTGTTCCCTTCCACGAGAAGAATGTTGTTGCCACAACAAACGAGAGTTCCAGACTGTCACGCCTCTACTGGGTTCCATGATGCTACTGCTGAGGGTTTTCAGATCTGCTCGGTGTGTTGCATGAATGATCGAGCAGGGGCCATGAACCCCTCAGGCTCAAAAGAGAGTTCCAAATCCAAAAAAGGCACCCCACTCCAGGTGCATCCCCGAGGAGATGCTATCCGCTCCAAGCTGATCTACACTTTCTACCTGATCGACCACCTGAAGGGGCTGAGCCATGCCGTCCCACGGCACAATATACGCGACTTCCTGGATCACAGGAAACTCAAGAAGCTGATGCTCACCGACCATAACCAGCTGGTCCGTTTCAACGTGATGCCCGTCCGGAACGTTTTAATCACCCAAGAGAAACGCTGGCGCAATCGTATCCGGGTGCGCTGCAGTCGCTTCCCCCCCTTCCCCATGTGGGCTTATTGGATTCTGTCTTGCAAGGTGTTCAAAGGTTTCATCATTTTCCTCATCTGCTTGAACATGGTGGTCCTCATGATCCTCACGGAGATTGCGCGGAACACAGAGGAGCACTTTATGATCATGAAGATAGTCCTAGAGGTGACTGTCTGGGTGATTGTCCTCATCTTTATCATCGAGATCTGGCTGAACTGGATGGTTGGCTTTTGGAAGTACTGGAAAAATCCCTGGAATGTCTTTGACTTTACTATCACCCTGATGTCCTTCATCCCTGAATTTGCTGTCCTCACAGATCTGGCCCACAGGGTGGCGACCAAACGGATCATCCTGGTTTTCCGCGTCCTGCGCTGCTTAAAGCTGTTCACCCGAGTCCGTCAGGTCCGGGTCATTATCATGGCCATCGCTAAAGCACTGAGGGCCATGGCTTTCATCCTGCTTCTCCTCGTCTTCTTCTTTTATGTCTTTGCTGTATCAGGTATTTTCTTCTTTGAGAGCTACACCCGCTCAGACAGGAATGACCTTGAGTACAGCAATTACTTCAAGGACATGCCCAATGCTTTGGTGACCATCTTCATCCTCTTAACCATGGACCACTGGTACGCTCTGATGCAAGATGCGTGGAAGATCCCGTCGATCAACAAAGTCGTCACCGGCATGTTTATCATCTTGTGGCTTCTCATTGGAGCATTCATCTTCAGGAACCTCTTTGTTGCCATCATGGTGGCTAATTTCCAAAACATTCGGAATGACTTGATGGAGGAAATGAAGCAGATCGAGGCCCAGAAGCAAGCCGACAGGTTCAAGATGGAGATTATAGAGAACAGGTACACCTCGTCCCAGTTACTTGGAGATTCGAATCAGGGAATAACGGGCTTAGGAAAAGCGTCCACACACAGAGAGGACCCAGATTACTCTGCGCATGAATTCACCACTGGGGGCTTAGACTGGGAGAGCTACATCTACAAAAACCTGCCCGGTCTTTATCAGGCGGATGACGACGAGCAAGTGGCGTGGCCGCGTGACACCCTCTTCCGCTACTTTGAGCTATTGGAGAAGCTTCAGTACAACCTTGAGGAGCGTCAACAACTACAGCATTATGCCACACTGGCTCTGACCAACCTGGAGGACAAATAGGGAGTTTTCCTGGAGGATCAAGCCAACCCCAAGAGAGAAGCCTGGACGACTGACACAGGACTTCTCCAAGTCCCTTGCCTCCACGTGTGGTCTTGTCCCACTGTTCTCCTCCTAAATAAGGCAAAAATGCTGCTATTAAGTGAGAGTTATTATGGAAACTGTAAAGCGTGAATGCAAGAACCATGTGTTTGCAAGCGTGCCTTTTGTACTGGGACATGATAAGTGGTTTATAAAATTATGCATGGGGTGGAGAGAATTGACAAAAGAGAAAATTCTCTCCCTCTCCCCAAAGACTAGAACTCGAGGGCATCCAATGAAGCTGATGAGCAGTAGGTTCAGGACAGACAAAAGGAAATACTATTTTACACAGACAGTGGTTAAATTATGGGATTCGCTGCCAGAGGATGCAGTGATGGCCACAGGAATAAACAACTATAAAAGGGGGTTAGATATATTCATGGAGGATCAGTCTATCAAGGGCTGCTAGCCATGGTGACTGAGGGGAGCCTCCACATTCAGAGGCCCTAAGCCTCTGAATCCCACACCCAGGAGACAACATCCGGGGAAGGCGTTGGCCTTTATGCCCTGTTGTTGGCCATCCAGAGGAACTGGTTGGCCACTGTGTGAGACAGGATGCTGGACTGCTGATCTGATCGAGCAGGGCTCTTCTGATGTTCTTATCCGGGGAAGGCCTCGGCCTCTGTGCCCTGCTGTTGGCCGTCCAGAGGAACTGGTTGGCCACTGTGTGAGACAGGATGCTGGACTAGATGAACTATTGGTCTGATCCAGCAGGGCTTTTCTGATGTTCTTATCAGGGGAAGGCCTCAACCTCTATGCCCTGTTGTTGGCCCTTCATAGGAATTGGATGGCCACTGTGTGAGACAGGATGCCGGGCTAGATGAACTATTGGTCTGATCCAGCAGGGCTCTTCTGATGTTCTTATCAGGGGAAAGCCTCAACCTCTACGCCCTGTCGTTGGCCCTCCAGAGGAATTGGATGGCCACTGTGTGAGACAGGATGCCGGGCTAGATGAACTATTGGTCTGATCCAGCAGGGCTCTTCTGATGTTCTTATCAGGGGAAAGCCTCAACCTCTACGCCCTGTTGTTGGCCCTCTAGAGGAATTGGATGGCCACTGTGTGACTAGATGGACTATTGGTCTGATCCAGCAGGGCTCTTCTGATGTTCTTATGGGATGTTCATCCAGGAGTCATGTTTAGCCAGTCACTTGGTTCCTAGTTAAATGTGCACTTGATGCTAAATCCAGCATCTGTATAATGTGTGGTACACCCTGACGTGGATGACCCAGTCTAGTCCAATCTTGTCAGATTTCAAAAGCTTAAGCAGGGTCATCCCTGGTTAGTACTTGGATGGGAGACCACCAAGGAAGTCACATGGTTTCTATTCAGAGGTAGGCAGTGGCAAACCACCTCCGTTCATCTCTTGCCTTGAAAGCCCTATGGGGCCACCATAAATTGGTTGTGACTTGATGGCAAAAACCAACAGTGAAAACTGTCATATGGCCCTAAACTATTATATGTTAATAGTAATCTGTCCTTATATATAATTGTGGAGTGGCACTTTCCAGCTCTCCTGTTGGCTGTGCAATGCGCTCCCTCAGCCATTGGTCTGTCAGCCACCACTCAAGAGCACTTGCATGCCATTGGCTGGGTGCTGGGTCTGCTCCTCTTCCCCACCCACTCCCCTTCAGCCACTGTGCCCTGTCAGAATTACTGGCAAACGGCTTTCTCTCTTGACAAAGACGCTTCTCCTGCTTGCCTCCTGTGTGGGACTAACTTTCCCCTTAGTGGCTGTTGTGAGGAACTCATTGGGGCCAGTCCTGACTAGGGTTGCCAGGAGTCACCACAGCAAATTGACACTGAGTGCCCAAGGGTTTGGCACTCTCCCAGGGCCTCTTTCTAGAGCTCATTGTATTTATTTCCACAATAGGCCTTATTCCTAGTAGGAAGACATACAGCACTAAGTCATTCCAGCATGGCATTGTGGGGTCTAGGTTCAGAGAGACAAAGGTTCAAGTCCCCAGTCTGCCATAAATTTTGCTGGGTGACTTTGAGACAGTTACCCACAGCCTAACCCATGTCATGGGGCTATTATGAGGAGAAACTAAGGGAAGGGAGAACCATATACATTGGCCTGGTCTCCGCCTTGAAAGCCCTATGGGGCCACCTAGCCAATAAACATATACAAACTGAATTGCTACGCTTCTGGAAAGTATTCAAACCAAAAAGTTGCAGTTTTTATTCAACACAGACTCATAGAGTTGGAAGGGACCTCCAGGGTCATCTAGTCCAACCCCCTGCACAATGCAGGAAATTCACAAAAACCTCTCCCCTCCCAGTGACCCTTGCTCCATGCTCAGAAGATGACCAAAACCCCCCAAACCACTCCAAGATCCCTGGCCAAACAGGGCTGGAGAAAACAGCTTCCTGAAGCTATTTCTCTTCAGGCCAATTTGGCTGGGGATCCTGGCGCAGGCCTTGAGATGTAAAATTTCCAGAAATTTTGAAGCTTGGAAAAAAACAGAAATTTTCGGAAAAATTGAAAAAATGCTACATTACATGAGCATATATTTTGTCTTTTCTAGATTGAAAGTCATTCTGTAACTTTAGAAACATAAAATATGACTATGGACATTTTTACTTGGCATGATATTATCACAACTAGCATATTAAAAATATAGTGCATCCAAACAATTATTACAAATAGAATACCCACCAACATGCAAAAACAAAACTGAAACTTTTTTGTTTTCTTCTGACAATCGCACCTCCTAAAGGAAGAAATGCATCTTGTTCTTGCATTGGAGAGTTCAGTTTGTAACCTAGGACTTGCTTGTCCTCAGTGCACAGAAATTAGATCTAGAGCAATCGGATGCCATATACAGAGGTCATTTTGGGGGGAATCGCGGGGGATCGCAGTTCCCCTGGGTGAGGTACGGGGGGCAGGGCACATGACGAAGCCTCGCCCCCTGCTTCCGGCCACCCCACTTCCGGCCCTCATTCAGCCAGGAGGAGGCAGGAGAAGAGGGAGGGTAAGTTGCTTCCTCCCTGCCTCTCCCCACCCCTGCCTGCCTGGGGCCAGGGAGGGCCTTCACGGGGCTTCCTTGCACTCCCGCCGGCCTTGCAGGTCCACCGCCGGCCCCTCATGGGGCTCGGCAGTGGAGCTGCAAGGCCGGC